TTTCTATTCTTTAAGAGAGTTCTGGTTTCTTTTTCATGGTATTTAATTTTTAGGAGTCAGGTATAAAACAAATTTAAAATTAAAAGAAGGTGGAAAGACCTCTTATTGTTCTGTGAACAATAAGTCTCCTAGTTATAATTATTTTTCTTTTTCCTGGGAAAATTTTGTAATCGAGTGATCTTGTAAACTACACATCCGACTAAGGTAAAATGTTTTAGGATCAGTAGACATGTTATGTAGATTTGCTGAACAAAGGTCATTTTGCGCGCACGTGCTTGCAAGAGCGCGCACGTGCAACACGTGAAATGACCATTTTAATTAATTTTGGCGTAACTTTTTACATTTTTGATGAAATGCTTTAAAACTTATGATATATGGATATATTATGACATTGTCAAAATAGCAAGATCTTACGCGCATGCACGTGCGCTTCGCTCTGATGTCTGAAACTAAAGTCTCTATATCTTTCTTGTTTTTCAACGAAATCCTATGAAATTTTGAACATAGCCATGCATTAAGATATCCAACAACATGATATATAGCAATTATCAGGAAAACACGTGCATGCACGTGCGCTGCAATCTGATTGGCTTAAATTTTGAATAGCTATAACTCCCTTGGTTTTCAACCAAACAGGATGGGATTTGGAACATAGATAGATATAATAAACTTCTACAAGAAGATATGGTCACCATGCAATGCAAGCAAGTGCGTGTACGTGCGCTGTAATCTGATTGGCTGAAACTTTATACAGCTATAACTCCCTTGGTTTTCAACCAAACGGGGTGAGATTTAGAACATAGATTGATTTAATGGACTTCTACAAGAACATATGGTCACCATGCTCATGTATGCACGTGAAATAAGGTAAATCAAATATACAATTGAATGAGCGTATTTTTTAATACTTTTGGATTCAATTCTTTAATATTTAGTACATAAAAAATATATAGATTGTGTAGACAACATGATATGGTCATTACGCACATTACTTTTACTTGCATAATCTTTATCTAAGTACAGTAGTTTATTTCATTGAACACACATTTCATCAGATAAATCTAAAAGAATTCTACGGGGGAGGGGGTGTTTTCTGTTAAGATATATCTATAAAAATATAAAATAAGCAATTATAACACGAATGATTTATAAACGTAGAATTAAAGAACCTTCCGTCGTTAACAGCATCCCCCCTTTTTCTGTGCTATATTTACATTCAAGTAAAATCATGTCAATAAAAACAAATACACTGTACTGAACACTTCAATATTCAAAGCAACCTTACACCTTTGTCACGTTTCGGGGTGCATATAAACTCGCACAAACTTTGAATGTATTAATGCAACGAAGTAGATGAATATTGAGTTTGAATTTCATTTACAGCTTACCAGTAATGTGATATTTATTATTAAGAATCCTTATGAAGTATAATACTTGTGCTTTTATTATTCAACAACTGTTTTGAAGTGATTATACACATGTCTATTAAGCGATTTGTACACTCCATATGCATATACTTTAAACAATAATCTGATCGATAAGTAAATCGATATATTCATTGCAGAATTTAGAGCAAAATTATGAAATATATACAAGTCAGACATGTAGTATCAGGAGGAGGGGTGGCCCCTTCTTTTCAGAAATAAATCTTAAATTCCCCCCCCCCCCCCCCCGCCCCGCCGGGAAAAACAACTTTCTTACGCCTTTAGCTGGTACATGTACGATATGAATAAACACACATTGAAATTGGTGTTTTATTTTTCAAATTTCAAATAAAAGTTTGACTCCCACTCCTACATAATCGATTTTTTCAGGTTTGGAAGAGTTTACTCTTTTTCCTTTGCTTTACCAGACTTTTGTTCAGGTCTATTGTTTATTTATTCTAAGCTACATATGTACCCCTTTACAAAGGAAAGGAAGTGTATTAAATTTCTGTGTGTATTTACCGTAATTTATTATTCGATCGCTTGTATTTTTTGAATTTTCATATGAAAAAAAATTAATAAAGTGGTTAATATATTTGATAGATGCATTTATATTTTTAAAAATTAAAAAAAAGTGATTAGGGGATTTTCAGACCAAAAATACTTTAAGAACAATAAAAAAAACCCCTCACCCACGCCAAATTCAGAAGAGGAAGAATAGTGCAAAATAAAATTCAAGCTTATTGAATATTATTCTAACCCGTACATTGTTTATTGTTTTTTATCTCACGCTACTACAGCTGGCCATGTCTTCCTTTATATAGTAACTAATTTAAATGTCTCCGCCCATGTGTATGTAATAGAGAAACCGTGCTCTGTTCGAAAGAAAATGTTTTGGAATTTTTATGTGCGGTAGGTGTTGAAAATTGGCTTTTATTTCTTGATGCTCAAAATCATCAATAACGATTGTACAAAATTTTGATAAGAAACACTATGTTGTACACCATTAAAATAAAAATTATACCATATCCTCAAGTATAATCTGTAAAAGAAGGGCGAAAAAAGGGACCACGCTACCATACTTAAGTGGAAAACTCCTTTGGGATTCTCAGCACTTTTTTCGTCCATTAGTGCATATGTTGATACTTATTGATGAGAGATCTTCAATTGCATCAACATTTTTGACCTTTGACTTTCCTTTGACCCTTTGACCTCACTTTTCCTAAATTAGTGTCAAACTTCATATGATAATACATATTGATGCAAGCAATTCAACTGCATCAATATTTTTTTTACGTTGACCTTGATTTGACCTTAACCTCACTTTTATCAAATTGGTTTAAGTCAGTTTTGAATAAATTATTCACAATGTTTTTTTTTTTTCAGTTGCATAAACGTTTTTGACCCCTGTCATTTCCTTTGACCTTAAACTCACTTTAAAGAAATAAGTGTCATACTTCATATGCTGGTACACGCTAATGTAAGCAATTTAACTGCTGACTATTCAAGATATTCTGATCAAATTTCATACAGGTATAAAATTTTTCATGTTGCATTTTTTATATACCTTTGGCGGGGCATTCATGTCCTATGGATATATTTCTAGTTTTTAAATGATTGATGACCATTTATTCATTTAATTGTAGAGAGAACTTCATGTTGGCCAGAGAAAACTTTTAATGAAAAACTGGAACAGCTCAAAGAAAGCGAGGACTATGAGTTTCGAATCCAAAAACTAATAAGTTTTATGAATATTGAAACTTATAATCTTTACTCAAATCAACGTGATCACGTGGAAAACAATGACTTTAAGGACATCGTTAAGAGAGTAGATTACCTTGACTGTTCAGGTCTTCAGATTACTGATGCTGAAAAGCAGAGTAAAAGTTTTGAGCCGTTCTCTCAATCCAGTGTTGAGGATTTTCTTGAATGGATGACAGACTTTAACAAAGTCTTCAGAAAGACACAGTCTCCAAAATGTCGTCTCATTTTATCTCTCCTTTTCTCTGAATATACAAAAAAAGCAATGCTAGAATTTAAACCAAAAGACCTTTCATTAATTATTTATCCATGCCTGGAATTCGCTATTGAAAATCAAAACCACATATTGATTTTAGAGATTGTGAGGTCGTACCTAATTGATTTTGATTTTCATTTGAGTAAACTGTTTAAAGACAAGAAAAGAATTTCTTCTTTTATGGACACTTTTTTGACCACAGCGAAATACAGAATTTTAAGAGAATGTCCAAGACTTCGACAAAATGCAATCAGACTATCGTTCTGTAGTGAATGTAGTAAGGAAAGTAGGCTTGTGATCATGATGTCATACAAAGGTAGCATAGAAACGAAAGACAGAATTCTGGAAAATCTCATGGGGGTGAATCTGGTATTGTATAACTATACTCAACCATCTGATGAAGGATATACTGTCTTCAACTCCTCTTCTGCTTCTTTCTCATCAAGTAACGTGCCTGTTATACCAGAAAATGACGCAAGAAAACTTTTCAAGAAGCATTCCAACCTTACTCTGATATCGGCATCTCCATATAAATCATCAGGATATTTCAAAGGAAAACATGTCATTGTCGAAAAACACTGCATAAGCCTTTTGTGTTTGCATAAAGGCTACATTCCTTTTGGAGAACGACAGTTTCCTAAACAAATTAATGGCTTTGACGTAGATGTTCAGGAGGGATATTGTTCTTTAGGAAGTGATAGATCTATAGATTTTGGAGGACATATTCGTCGTGCCAAGAGAATAAATACTCCTGGACATGGAAGCATCGGGGGTTTTGTTGATTGGCCAGGCGATCCAAGGAATCCTAATGGAAATACAGTTTGTCTAATAACCTGCGCTCATGTCGTGTTTTCTACAGAAGAACTGAAAATGTCTCGGGAGGAACTCAAAGATAAACTGAATAAAAGCAGTGATTTTGAGGTTGAGGTTTTTGATAAAAACCAGCATAAATTTCAAGTGTGTGGACATATTGTTGATAAAGATTTCATAGGAAGGCGCTCATTCATCCACAATTCCGTTGACGCAGCTTTGATCAAACTTGACCCAACTTTAAAGGAGTTTGGGTTCCCAGTTACTCAACCAAACCAGTTATACTCAGCAGGTATGTTACCCATGTTAACCCCACTTTGTCTATTCTATCATTGTATTCTATCATTGATTGAACTTAGGGGAATATTATCTCAACTTTATTGTTAGTTTCCATTTTTAAACCATAATACTTTAATTTAATTTGTAACACGTCATTTGATTGATTAAAAGGTTTTATCCATTTTGTATAACATAACTTGCCTACGTCACAATGAGTTACATCAAAAATGTATTACTCCGCTTGCCGTTGACTTTTAAAATAAGCAAAATCTAAAGCCTTTTTCCGAAGGAAAAATGGAAAAAGTGTCTTATTGTTTACATTGAAATTAAATTATAAGGAATGAAGCTTCTTTCAACTTATATATTATACGTAATAACAAAACTTGGGGCATGCAGCTTACGCTTTTTTATAAACCGCTTCTCTGTTTATAAAGCGTTAACTACCCCAAGTTATGTTATATCATATAACATAAGTTGAAATAAGCTTCATTTTTTAATAGTGATGGGAAATCGGAAAAAAATCATAATCGATTATAGATAATAATCGGCTGGGCATAATCGATTAATAATCGATTATATTCGAAATTTTAAACATTAATAAAATTAATATAGAAAAGTTAAGACTTATTCAGATTTCTGTTAGACTTTTACAAAAAAAAATTTACTTACATAAAATATTCAAAAATGTTAATTGAAATTTCTTTTTTAAAAAGTGGAAAATAGTATTTTGTTTACCTTAAACAATATACATATAGGACTATTGAAAAAAGAATGGGAATTCATTTTTTTCACAAAGTCCAAGCAATGGGTATTTTACTGATATTAGTGCCATTTTCATTCAACACATGTACGTATTTATTTCTTAAAATTAGTTTTAAATAGTTAAAATTGTAAGTTGTAAAAGTAATTATCCAGAAGTAAGACTTGTATTTATGATTATAATTACATTTAAAGATTGACTAGACTAATTAGGGCCCCGCAAGGATTTGCGGGTGCCCTATAGTAACCACTCTGTCCGTCCATCCTTCTGTCTGTCTGTCCGTCTGTCTTGAAAACTTCTGTCCACAAATTTTCTGTTTTTTTCTAATAACTTTTTTATGGTTGCCCAATCAAGTTTAAATTTGGTATGGTAGTTCAATAGGCAGAAATACATATTTTGATGCTAAGTTTGATTCTCTATGTCTTCTAGTTTGGAGCTGGGGTGGTGGGGTAGATTCCTTAACTATGCATAAGTATGAATGGGCAACTTTTTTATGGTTGCCGGGCTTGCCCAATTAAGATCAAATTAGGTACGGTAGTTCAGTAGGCAAAAATACATATTTTGATGCTAAGTTTGGTTCTCTATGTCCCTTGGTTTGGAGCTGGGGTGGTGGGGTAGATTCCTTAACTTTATATAAGAATGCATTGGCAAAGAGAGATAACTGCTGAAGATGTTCCCATTCAGTAAACTGAATGCTGCTATGAGTCCCATGGGATTAATTAGCTTTCCTCCTGAAGAAAATCCAGAGCATTATCTTTATCTGTCACATTGAGATTAATAACTACCTCTGTCTGCAAATGAAGTTTGTTTTGAAGTTAAAACAATTTGGAATGCTATGAACACTCTGAAATGTGGATTTAAATATAAATTTTTATTATTTATTTTTGTTTGATAGTTATGATTTCATTGAATTCTAAAAAAAAAAATAGATTAAAGAAGATTTTTTGATTTACCAGGGTACTTTTTTTTCCCTTTTTCCTTTTTTTTTTAAATATATCAATTCAAGAATGTTTTTTTAATTTTTAATGTAGTTGTATAAAAACCCCATTCTGTCATTAATACTGAAAAAGTTCTTATTGTAAATTTAGAAGAAAATGATGAGAGAGGTACAATTAATCCCTTGGGATTAATTATCTAGCCTGCTGCAAAAAATTTAGTAGGCTTCTCTTTATCTGTCACTTTAAGATTAATGAAAACCTTTGTCTGCAACTGCAGTTTGTTTGAAGTTAAGGTCAAGCCTTCAGGATATTTGCATTCATTGAAGGCTGGCATTTTATATAACACAAGATTCATAATTGTTTAAATATACATTCAATGTTAAGTTGTTCTTTACTGCCTATTGTAAATACAAGAATATTATTTTCAGGTTTTTGAATATTCAGGAATTATGTTGAAATTTTAAGAATACAGTTGCTGTTGCTTTTTCTTTGTACATTTTTTAACCATCCTGTAAGCTGCACCTTTTTAATTCTACCCCATGGCGGGGCCCTTGCTGACTGGTCAGTTTTCTAGTTATGTTTTCCTTTACTTGCAATATTACCGTTTCCTGGTATTAGTCTAACCCCATATTTAATCATGGCGGTAAAAGTATCAACAAGACACGGGATCCTACCATTCATCACTACTTTTATGCTCTTTGCACTTGGATTTGGTAATAAAATTAAAGTATGACAGTTTTATTTTTTGTTAGCGATGTCGGCGACATTTATTTTATAATCGATTAGTAGCATAGAAGAGCTTGTAACGGTCGACAATCGATTGTCGCCGACAATCGTTCCATCACTATTTTTAAATTAGGAATATTAATATCATCTTATTGTCAGAAATGAATATAGAATAAGATATTGCTTTGGTCAATCAAAATGGCATATTTTTCACAATAAAACATTGTCTTAAATTTAATTCTAGGTTTTGACCCAAATAAACCACCTGTTTTTAAAGGAGATATTGTTAATGTACAAGATCCTGACCCTCATCTGAAAATTAGCAGCAAAATTCCAGATAAATTAGACAGTGTGATAAAATACGGAAGTAAAACAGGTTTCACCATTGGAAGTCTCTACTTTAATGGAGTACACGTTCGCTTTCTGGACGAAATTGGAGAATTGCCAGACAAAACACCGGCTTATATGTTCAATCAAATTGAAATCCAAAGTCTTCCCCATGGGACATTTTTTGAAGCTGGTGATTCTGGAGCGTTTGTGTTTTGTATCAACCGAGACAAGACACTAAGCTGCCTAGGGATGGCTATAGGTTCGAGCACAAAGGGATCCTGTCTAGTGACACCAATGGTTAGAATCCTTGATTCTTTTGAACTCCCTCATAGATTAAAGCCGTGCTCTCCTTTTGTTTCTGGTGTGTCAGAAAATCATACAAGTTCACAGTCAGGAGATCAGAGTCGTATTCCAACAACAGCTAATTTGGAAGCGTTACTGTTGAATTTTCAAACAAACATACAAACGTCAATAGCAGATGTGCAAACGGCACTTGAAAGAAAATTTGAAAATTTGAGAACAGAAGTTCGAGAAGTTCGAGAATCGACCGAAAAAATACAAACAGAAGTAGAGAATCTGAAAACAAAAGTTGAAGATTTAGAGCCACCAAGACAAATTTAAACAGAAGTTGAAAACTCGAAAACACAAGTAAAATAAACAAGAAGGATACTTTTAAAACAGTGGTCTGCAAGCTCATCTGCCATCAGGAGAAATTAACAAGGGTGTCATAATTTAAATGTATGTTGTTTTGCTTTGCGGTATATATACCGTATATCAGGTTTTTTTTCCGTGTCATGTTTTTTTCCGCGAATCAGAACCCAAGTCAGTATATTAAATTTACGCCAATAAAATTTTCACTATTTCAAAGTCCCAGTGATTATATTATTCACAATTGTTTAAGCCTATAAAGGATTGGGATGTAAAATGTAAAGTCATTAAGCTCGAGTTACTTCACACGGATGAGAAATAGATTGATCGACCTTCACCTCGTCAATTTCGGAAAACCCGCTCAGCTGATAACTCACCTGTGTTGCATACTAACTTTAAAATTCACATATATTATTTTCTTTAATCTAAGCAATCATAGGTTCGACAACTAAAGGGTGTTGTTTTGTGACACCAATAGTTAGAATTGTAAATTCTTTTGGCCTTCCTCGTCGATTAAAGCCTTGTCCTGTCTTCGTTTCTAGGTATACCCCCAGAGTGCCAGATAACCCTTTCAGTTCTCAAGTACCACAGCAAAGTGATGCTTTATCAGAAGTGAACTTATAAGCAATATATTATTGAATTTGAATGCGTCAATAATGAATATACAAACGCGAGTATGGAGTCATCCATTACAGATGTTCAGAATCAGCAAGCGTGTGTTCAAAATTCTTTAACTACCGTCCAGGAAGAAGTCAGCGCTTTGAAAAATGAAGTTAAAAAAATTACTGTAAACGTATTACATTTGGCTGTGTATTCTATTTAGCGCCTTTCGCGGAAAGCAGCCTCCGCTAAATCAAGTACTTCGCTAAATGCTTTGTGTATAAAGGTTTCTGCAATGCACATTCAAAAAGCACTAAATCAAATCTACGCCAACTTGTTGAAAATTCAATTTTCGCCAAATATCGTACACGCCAAATATAATACATTTACAGTATGAATAAATAACGTTTTGAGGAAAGTCAGCAATATTTCTGTTAGACTTGTGTTCTTGATATCATGAGTAATGTTTGCCAAAGAATTTTAGAAAAAAAAAATTAGATGGAAAATCTGATAAGAAATTATAAAGTATGTAAGATTCGCGTAGAAAACTAAAAAAAATCCCAATATTCCATTTTTTTAAATCAATTTTTATATACTTTCTATTCATACATGTAGTCAGTAAAGATATGTATATTAATCAAGGTTTGAAGAAATTTCCCGATGTTTTGAATTCTGGCTTTTGCTGGAAATCTGTATTTACAATAAAGAATAAACATTCTTTAAGACTCATCTTTTCAAAAACCACTGTGCTTAAAAGATCAAACCACTAGGTAAGAAAGCTGACGATTTAGTATTTTCAATTTTTTTTTTCTAGTGACCAATGGGTCAGAAAAAGGAAAGGTATGAAAATAACGAACGGTATTCAATAGCAAAGTCCGTAAAGCAATACAAAATAGGAGCAGAGGAAAAACGGATCTCTGAAACATCCATCCGCGTAATATATGAATCATGTCAAACACGGTTGGATTATTTTCTGGTTTTTTCTATTTTGCCTTCTACTTGGTTTTGCTTTTTAGTAAGAAGAACGGTCATTCGCTGAATATCCACATTATTCAAGATGCTTTCAACATTGACTGATTCTGGAGAATTTTTTAAAATCAAAAATGGAAAAATCATGTCCCATCGGCAACAATTTGTATCCAATGTTTAACAAAGGTAATTTTCAGTACCTCCGAGAAGAAAAAAATTGATCATTCTGATGAAGCATATAGTCTCTGAAATTATTTAGGTGTTTTACAAAAAAAATGATGATAAATAATCTCACCCATTATATACTTAATTATATCTTTACTATAAGACATTGTTTTTAATCTGAATCTTTAACATACTTTAAAATCTATTGCAATATTATAAAGCAAAGCATATCGATTTTTTTTACCTTGTATGTAATTTAAAGTTTTGTTTGATTAAAAAAACATTTTAAAATGATTCCAATGTATAACTCTGTAAATGCAAATAAAGATCAAGGACTGCTGTTTCTCCTTCCATTCAAATATAAAAATAAAGCTAAATGGGTCACATTCCGGTAGAGAGTGGGTCTCATTTGTATTTCAGACACGTAAGAAAATGCGGTTCTCTAGCTCATCCTTTCTTCATGTTATTTTTTTTTTTGATTTATCGATATTATTATTCAACTGTAAAGGAGTCTCGCAAGTAAAAAAAAAATATTGTATCAGTTTCCTGTTTTGCTTGAAATGTTTAGTTTATCTTATTAAAAATTGTATTAATCATTGTCTATGAACCATTGTATTGTATATTAATTTAATGTATGTTGAATAAAATGGGATCATTCGAATTTTTTATTTTTTTTTTAGAAAGAAAGCATTAATTTTAAATAAATAAAAAAAGTATATTAGAAAACTACTAATGTTCACAGGCTTCACAAACAACCCTCATATTTTTACTTCGATATATATATATAGGATCTCCCATGGTTTGTGGATTGATATGACTTTTATCCAACGAATTGTGTGTTTTATCCCCGAGCCTTGGCGAGGAAAATGAAAATTCACACAGAGTTGGCTAAAAATCATATCAAACCACAAATCATGAGTGATTCTATTTGTCACATATTTTCGTTCACTATAAGGCCAGGTAAAATTAATCTTTAGATTCTCATCCTAATTTGCTAAAAAATTTGGGCGGGTGGGCGGATTTTATTTTTTTATTTTTTAGAATTGTTAATTTATATATAGGCCTAAGTAACAACAAAACAATTGATGCCCCGTACACATTTTTTTCATTACCTTAATGCAAATATGAATAGATTTAATTCTTTTCATATTCTTTTAAATATTTAAAGAAAATTTTTGCTTTAAAAATTGAATATATATATATTTATTGTTAATTAACAAATTATCAAGTACACATTATACGGCACACCCTGAACAAAATGAGGTGGGGATACCAATAAATTGTGTATGCGTGATTTCTTATTTTGCAAAATCTATATAAATGTTCTAATAATTATTCTACTGAAAAATCTAGGCCTTCTCTTAAGTCTGTCTACGATGTTGTAGATTTTTTTTTATTTCAAAGCAAAGTCACACAGCTGGAGATCGTTATATATAACTTGACAAGGTGTCATTTTCTTCATCTATTTTTACTTAATCTCTCTACATACTTGCTCCTGCCAGTGATGGTATCTATAACTGTTATAGATACAATAACTATGTGTTTATTCTATTTTTCTTCTCTGCCTTCTGTATACTGACAATTAAATTATCTTTTCCCTAATCATTTAAACTGCTTTTATTGCCGATTTTTCTCCATTCTTCACATGGCGTTTTTGCTATAAATAGCGACACGCGACTTTTAATACAGACGGGAGATAACTCTTAAACTTTGACCCAAATTCTTACTGTATAAAAATACATGAAAATACACAAAAATCAAAATAAAAAAGTCGGGGCGGGACATTTTGAGAGGGGCGGGCGGGGATGAGAATCTAAAGATTAATTTTATATGGCCTAAACATGATAAATGTGTCTTTTGTTTTTATTTCTAATTCAAAGTTCCCTTTCGATTAACTTGGACCAAATAACGTAATAAATACTACTACGCTGTATGAAATAGCTCGTGCAAAAATGAAATAAAAATGTATTTCAGCATTTATTTTTTTTTTTAATTCATGAATGAAAATTTGTTAGAATATATCAAAGTGAATTTTGACATTCTCTCCACCATTCACATGTATTTGTTTATTTACATTACGTAACGCGGCGTAGGAATACAAAGTGTTGATACGAAAACGATATCACATGAGCTATTTCACCGGGATACAGGTGAACATATGTAATAAAAAAGTTTTAATGGTTTCAATAAACATATGTCAAGAACTATAATCTTTAATTGCTATAAATAAACAGAATGCACAAGTTGCTTATCTTTCTAACAAATGGGTACAGTCCACTAATTGTTTTCCCATAGGCAACAATGTTAACGTCTCTTCTCATAGCGATGTCCCTAATTTTCGTTCAGAAATGAGTGACCCCTCAAATCAAAGCACATCAACTTGTCTTTCCATGGTTAAAATCTCGAGGTGGCATGTCAGATTTCTTTCCCGGCAAAATGCTTCTGTCTGCGGGAAAAATGAAAGTGAAAGAAGGGGAATTTCAGAGTTCTGACTGGCATTATAACACACAAAATAATTCGGCTGATCTTCTTGATAAATTACATTTGCCAAGCTTTTTCGGTAGGAAAGATACTCCTTATCAACAGGTGTGAGGCTCAGTTTTTTTAATTCAAGTCTGCAAATTAAGGAGCTTGTAATTTTTTCTGCACTACTTTCTTCTCCTACCGATTTTAAAAATAAATAATTTAATTTTGATTTTATTCTAGTCTCTCATTGGTTGATTTCCAAAAAGGAACACAAGAATAAAACGTAATAACCTGGTTTGGTATGGGGACACACCCCCTTGACAACCAGCTGATTCATCTGTATCCATGCAATCCCACATTTCCAGTCCTTGGAATTACATGGAAAATTCTAAATTCCATAAATGTACTTTTAACTTCAAACAGTAGCTCGCTCTTACCTCGTGTAAACAAACTGGCTGCTAGATCTGTGTATCAATTATCACGTCCCCTTGTTTCAAATCACTTCCGTTACTAGGGATGTATTATTGAGCGGCAAATTTGAACTCATAAAAAGCAGCACAATTTTACATCCACAGTTGTTTGATTATTTAAAAATTAAATTATAAGGAATGACTCTAATTCTTGACCAAATTATTCGATTATAACCTGGTTTGGGTCAGTTTACGTTTTTTTATAATCCGCTTCACGGATTATAAAGCGTAAACTGACCCAAACCAGGTTATAATCGAATAATTTGGCGGATTATAAAGCGTAAACTGACCCAAACCAGGTTATAATCGAATAATTTGGCCAAGAATTAGAGTCATTCCTTAATTAGTGGGATGTACCCAAATCAAACAACGGCATTCAGACAAAAACATGAAATAAATATGAAACACAGATTAAAATTAAAATTCTATTAAAAGAGCTAGAAAGTCAGTCTTGTTAAAATTAATATAAGTTCAGTAATTTTGTAGAAATAAGAATTTTCAAAACATAGCAAACGAAACGTATGATATAAGGTCTGTAAGTCTCGTCACGTGACAGGCGAGATTTTGCGTGAAAGTTGACTTCCGGGTACATTCGCTATAATGGCTCTTTCTATCTTGTATTGGGTCAAGTATGTTGAGGGGCACACGAAGTTAACTAGGAAGAGTGAGGCAGCGGTGGAAAGTGGGAGGGTCCTACGATTCGTAGTTGACGAGCTGAGAGTTATTAATGCGTGCGTTCAAGCCTCAATGAGAGATACCTGGATACATCGTACAAAGTACAGGTACTAACTTCAGCATTCAGTTAAGAGCTTGACTTTCAATAAAACATAATATTTTTATTAACTGAAAAAACATTTACAAAGAAGGGTTTAGTATCTTGGGTTTTGAAATGTATATTGGAGCTGTTGCACGTTCGTTATGAAAGGGGGGGGGGCAACATTAATACTGTTAATAATGTATACTTATTATGAAGTCTGCTGTTGTACAATATACAACCAAATTAATATATAACAAAGGTTGAATATATGTTACAGGTATAGGCCTATACATCATGTACATTCTAAGGTGTTATATTAATAACACATTATTAAAAATTGTATCCATACTCC